CGATGCCCCAAAGGATCAACGAACTCCACGAAGCGAAAGGAAGATCTACTAGATATTAATTAAATTATAAATATACGGGTGTCTTTCAGCATTTTCAACCAGAAAGTAAACATTTGGTCTTAAATACGTCTTTGTAGAAAGCAGACGTTTTCTGAATGCCACTTCACAGACCAAGGTTTCCATTAGTACCGGCGGTACCAGGTTGCCGGTACTGGTACTCGAGCATCTCTAATCATGTGACTTGAACAGTTAGAAATTCAACTATTCTTCCCAGTGTGTTCTCGTGGGAATTTTTTTATTCACATCAAACCAAATTGTCAGTTATCTGTAATCCCACGTGGTATGATGAACATGACAATGAGTCAGTTGAAATCTAGGCTTTCTATTGGTTATAAATGTAATGTCAAAAGTAGGCGTAGAAAGTGGTTTCAGGATTTTCAATGATTGCTCTTTAGCCCTATAAGATTGAAGAATATAAAAATATCGCTTCAGAATATCGATGGCGAAATTATAGAGAATATTTTACGTTACATTTCTTAGTTTTCTAGGGGGTAGACAAAAATAATCTAGACCACTCAAAAACAAATATCCAAATTCTCACACCAAGGGAATTTGAGGTTGTTTTTAAGTATTTCCTTATATAGTTAAAACGTAAATCATATATAATATTAAGATTTGATTTATTATCTATGGTTTGATGTCAAATTTGTTCGTATACCATGATAATTAAGTAGTTTAATTAAATTTTGACGTAACTCACTAAAAAGTCATGACATGCGCGGTTTGACCTGCCCGCATGCAAAGGGTTAATCACGCATGCACCTACTTAATGTGCAGTCAGTCCCGTAAGCACATTCACATTCTCTTCCAGAGCGTGGGAGTCACCAGTTTCCTATATTTCATGCTATTTCCGATTTTCACGGTTAGATTCGCTTATTGACTAAAGTATGAACTCAAAACTACCACACCAAACATTTATAATTCTGTGAAAAGCGAAGATGAAATACTGACGGCCCGGTACCGACTGCAAACCTTGTCACAGACATCATTTGATGGAAAGTAAACGCTGTTTGAAATGCTAATTATTATCAAATACGTGATTTTTTTTAAGTATTTATTTAGAATAAATATTATAATTTTATTGAGTTTATAAAAAGCAATAGCAAGGCTTTATTTAGTATAGCTGTTTCTTTATAGATCCTGATTTTGATAATATTGTCATGATCGTTTTATCTTTCAGGAATTTACAAAAATAATAAATACAACAACAGAGATATAATTAGTAAAATAAAGTACTGGTGATAAGTTTGTGGTTGTCATGGTTAGTTGCTTATATGATCATCTAAATCTAATCAGTTATTTTTTTTAATTATTAGCTACTAATTACTAACTGGGTTATATCCTACGTGTCGACTGTTGATTTGTTGTCCTTCTCTGGAGAATCCGAAAAATCATGGTTTCAAAAGGAGTATCCAGGTTAAGCTGTCCCCTGTCTAGATTGACTGAGTGTGTTATCAGTTAGGTGGACGTAGAAACAACCTACTTGCTGAGCCAACCTGGTTTATTCGAGGTCTCATCTGTGAATTATCAAACTCTCTTTCATGCGAAGGCTTTGTTCACCATTGGCCTTATCTACAATCGTAAAATTATTTGAATGTAGAATAATGTTACATCCTTTGGGACATATTCTAGTGCACTAGACTTAATTGGAGATCTTAAATTTGGATCTTCTTTCACACGTGTTAACAACTTTTAATGGATCCAATTTATCCTTGCTGACAACAAAGACAAGTGAATTTATAAACTACTTTTGATGACTTTAGAACAGTAATACGACCCTTAAATCTAAGAACAAGATTTTAATTAAGCCGCTTTAATATATTTAATGTCGCAGATATTTGGATGACACTTTCACCATTTTCAGAATTTCTGATTAAACTATTCAATCTTTTTGAGTGCTTGAATAGTAAGCATAACAGTATAAAATTCACGGGTGAACATCAACAAAATCATAAAGTTTCATTTCTGGGCACTTTGATTTACAATAATAATAGCCACTTCCAATGTGAAGTATTAGAATAAACGGTAGTGGACCCCTATGTAGGGATGGCAGAGAAAGAAAATGGCGACCGATACGTAGCCTATGGGAAATGCAACGCTAGAACATGCGTAAATCAGCGCAAACAAACACTCAAAAGCGCTTTATCATTCGTACACAAAACTACTCGTAAAGTACTTTCACAATGCAGAGAGGGGTGGAGCGAAGGAGGGATTTGCACAGAGTGTAATGTTAGCATTTCTTCCTTGTTCCTGTTCTTTTTGCACCAGTCATCCCTACTTCTAATTTAAAATATTTTTTATTTTCTTTATTTCTTGCACTACAGAAAACCATTTACTGGTCTGTATTTTAATTTTACCTGTTTTATACCAAATGTTTTAAGATTTTATTTTCATGTATTTTGGAAAAGTTGGTTAATACTTCTTTCTGTGTGTGTCTGCTCTAAGTTTATTTTCATGCGCTTTTTAACAGTTGGTTAATATTTCTGTGTGTGTGTGTCTGCTCTAAGTATATTTTGAAGTATTTTTGAAGAGCTGATTAATATTTCTTCATGTATGTGTCTGCTCTAAATTTATTTTCATGTATTTTCTCAGAGATGATTAATCTTTTTCTCTGTGTGTGTCTGCTCTAAGTTTTTTCATGTATTATTGAGGAGTTAATTAGTCTTTGAGTTAATTGTTGAATTATACTCGAACTTTTCTGAGTT